TCTCCATATCTCAGTGTGAGAATTCACATGCTAAGAGATGTCACTGCATCCTAGTACCACTGCACCTCTCCAAGTCCTCGCTCATCACTATGGCAACCAGAAAAATGGTTCACCAGGAAACTTTGCCTGCTTTTAAAGGGCCAAAGCATAAATCTGGAGCGAGCATCCTCCTGACGGGTGTGCAAAAGGCTCAAGGCGCGCTCGTGCACCGAGCACCACAAATATGTTTAAAGAAAGGGGAGATTGAGAAGCAGAGAGAGTAAATTAAGAAAAAGAAACAGAGAATATGATGGCTTAATGTGTGGGCGTTAGGGCTGAATAGATTGGCCTCAGTCACGACAGAAATTAGGACGTAAGAGAGCGACAGGTAAAGAAGGTAAGAAGGCTGGGGTGACGTTCGTTTGTTCTGCAAAATTCACTCTATGCAAATCAGAGATTTGGCTTTGCCTGAGGAAGACTTGTATAGAGTGAACGTAACCCTCATTCACACATCAACGTGCAAACACACAAACACACACGCATTTTGCCTGTTAGGAAAAAGTGTTCTGTAATCCCTGTAGTGATGCCCAATGAAAATATCTGCATCTGCAGAGGTGCGCTGACTAAACATGACACACAGAGAGCCTGAAAAGACACAAATTACTCTCATCTTCCAACAAACATTCATTTAAACATCCTAACACGCGCACACAATTCACCCAAGGATATGTTGGAAATCATTAAAACTTACCTAATAAAACCAGGGCACACATTCCACACCATCTCGACTTCCTCTACGAGGGTCCGTCTCTGCTCTGTGAAAGTGTATAAGTGTGTTAATGTGTGTGTTTGGAACGTATGTGTGTGAGAAAGAGAAGAGAGGGAGAAAAGAGGAGAGATAGAGGGAAAGGGAAAGAGAAATAGAGGGAGAGAGAGGGAAAGAGAGAGAGAGAGAGAGTGCGGAGGCAGAGAGAGTGTTACTGTATGACAGGAATGCTCAGCTCAGCCCACACAGTGCAAGCATGATACACTGACTGTGTGTGTGTGTGTGTGTGTGTGCGTGCAAGAGAGAGAGTATAGAGAGGTTCAGTCTCCCACTTCTTTGCGTGGGCAAGGCCTGAATCTCACTCACAGTCTCTCTCTTCTCACTCTCTCTCAACAGCTATTACAGGAGAACAGCAGAACTGGATGGTAAAAAAGGGGATTGTGAATGAGAAAGCCTGGGGGGTGGGAAGAGAGAGGAGAGGAGAAGAGAGAGAAAGAGCCCCGCGATGGTCTCGTGGCTGATTGGTTCTGTTTTATGACATAAAAAGTTTGTCAGCAAAATCCTGTAGCATCAGAAGCAGCTGATGAAAGGTTCCGTGATCGCCATGGCAACATGCCAGATGTAAACATCAGCACGGTTGCGTGGGCATCCACGACAGTCACCACGTCCAAGACAATCACAACAATACGATCCTTACGAGAAGTCAGGGTAGTGGCATATAATTATGAAATATGCACGCAAATTTGATACAGACTGAGACTGAGTTGGATGTAGAAATTGATATGCACAAAAATCAGGTCTGGTGTCCTCAAAAACAAATAAATTATTTTGCATAAAGAAATGTTTTATATGCAAAAATAAATATTTTGCATAAAGAAATTAAGTATACTTTTTAAGAATTTTTTTTTGCATTATTTTCATGGCAGTTAAGCACATCCTCTGACTAAATTCAATTATTTCTATATCCTCATAATAAGAGATTACATGGAATATTTGTATTTCATTAATTTTGTCATTCCGGAAGAACATTTAAGAGCTGCAAAAAGTTAAAAAGTGATTAAAGATTATGATTTTAAAAGTTACTTGACATGTATATGAAATTTAATGAATATGAATGTGAAGTTTTTACTGTAGTTTCTCACTGTATAATTATATATATAATTGTTTCCTGATTTAGTTCAGTATTAATCAGCATAAATTAAAGGAAGTACAACAAATGCTACCATGATGTATAAATCCTATACGATTTAAATATATATATTTTTGTATTTCAGTCATTAGATTTTTTCCCCATCAGATTGCACTATGCTAATGAGAATTAAAAGGGCAATGTGCATAATGTCATGACAGTGCACAAATAAATTAATGGTCCTAACAGACCTCACTTTTGTTATTTATGCAAAGTATATATATATATTTTTTATTCCTTTCTTTTGATTTTCGATGAAAATATTATCTGGAGAAATTATTGGGTTTCATGCAATTCACCCACAGCTTCGTCTGCTTTGGGAAAGCTAGCGTGACTCCAACATAGTCATAAAACTCGTTGCCTTCTCTAGCGCAGCGCAACCAGGTCTCGTCCCATTCGTCGATATTTGTGATATCACAAATCCTGGAAAATATGCTTTGTAGTCCAAACGAGTCGTTCATTGTAGTTTTTGAAAAGTGATTTCTGTTAAATAGAATACCTCCTTTTAAAGTGCACTTTGAGCTTTGTAACTTTGCAGATCTTTTTTATGCTCAAACAGCAACATTACAGACTAACTAAAATTGAAAAAGTGAAAAAGCATAATAGGACCCCTTTAAGTCTTAAATTCATAAAATCTTGGCATCTTCCTGAGTATTTTTTATTTATTTTTTACTAATACAAACACCTAAACATCCTTAAATCAAGACACATTTACTTGAGATGCAAACTGAATATGTCAAGTCTTTATTTCTGAGAAAATGAACAAAATTGAATGAGTTTGTTTAAAATATGAACAAGCAACTGTCAGTGGGGAATGAAAACTTATTTTCCCTTTGAATTAGGTAGATTTTTTTCTCAGCCTATTTGCAGATGTTTGCTCTTATTTTAATCAAAAATTCTATTCATTTTGATCAGTGTCTCAGAAAACAAGACTTTACAGTATATGTTCAATTTGCATCTCAAGTGTATATTGATTTAGGGATGTTTAGATATTTGTACTGGAAATTGTAGTGCATGCATACCATAATTTCTCATGAATATCTTATTTTATGTAATTTTGCTAAGAATCTTTAAGAACATCATCTTTTTGCAGTGTATTCAAGCTATTTATTTTAAAATAAAAAGTAATGGAAATATATGTTCTTTTTTCTTTGAAGCGGTGCTAATACATTTACATTTAGAGACGATGTTGACCTGTTGTGTTCCATTCAATTTATTCCTTACATTTTCTTACTTAGTCTTAAATATGTCTTTAAATTACTTAATAAAGTATTAATAAAAGTCTCATAAAACCAGAAACCCTGTATAATAACTGTTAGTAATGATAATGCAAAACATAAGCATCTAGTTGTAAATTGATTGTATTACAACACAAAAGCCATATTTAGTATTACAATAATACGGGTTTTCTGTTTGCAATCCAAAACCAGGACTTACCTCTTAAATATTGATTTCATACAGTGTATATCTCATATTCACTATGTGAAAACGCTCATGCACTTGTGCAAAATAACCCAGCATAGTTCAGATGACTATTTTTAAACTCAGTGGCTCATGCGCGATGCAAGCCAAGCTGACCAACCTCACCTTCGCATTCTTCTGCATTGTGATATCACAAATCCTGGAAAATATGCTTTGTAGTCCAAACGAGTCGTTCATTGTAGTTTTTGAAAAGTGATTTCTGTTAAATAGAATACCTCCTTTTAAAGTGCACTTTGAGCTTTGTAACTTTGCAGATCTTTTTTATGCTCAAACAGCAACATTACAGACTAACTAAAATTGAAAAAGTGAAAAAGCATAATAGGACCCCTTTAAGTCTTAAATTCATAAAATCTTGGCATCTTCCTGAGTATTTTTTATTTATTTTTTACTAATACAAACACCTAAACATCCTTAAATCAAGACACATTTACTTGAGATGCAAACTGAATATGTCAAGTCTTTATTTCTGAGAAAATGAACAAAATTGAATGAGTTTGTTTAAAATATGAACAAGCAACTGTCAGTGGGGAATGAAAACTTATTTTCCCTTTGAATTAGGTAGATTTTTTTCTCAGCCTATTTGCAGATGTTTGCTCTTATTTTAATCAAAAATTCTATTCATTTTGATCAGTGTCTCAGAAAACAAGACTTTACAGTATATGTTCAATTTGCATCTCAAGTGTATATTGATTTAGGGATGTTTAGATATTTGTACTGGAAATTGTAGTGCATGCATACCATAATTTCTCATGAATATCTTATTTTATGTAATTTTGCTAAGAATCTTTAAGAACATCATCTTTTTGCAGTGTATTCAAGCTATTTATTTATTTATTTTAAAATAAAAAGTAATGGAAATATATGTTCTTTTTTCTTTGAAGCGTTGCTAATACATTTACATTTAGAGACGATGTTGACCTGTTGTGTTCCATTCAATTTATTCCTTACATTTTCTTACTTAGTCTTAAATATGTCTTTAAATTACTTAATAAAGTATTAATAAAAGTCTCATAAAACCAGAAACCCTGTATAATAACTGTTAGTAATGATAATGCAAAACATAAGCATCTAGTTGTAAATTGATTGTATTACAACACACAAGCCATATTTAGTATTACAATAATACGGGTTTTCTGTTTGCAATCCAAAACCAGGACTTACCTCTTAAATATTGATTTCATACAGTGTATATCTCATATTCACTATGTGAAAACGCTCATGCACTTGTGCAAAATAACCCAGCATAGTTCAGATGACTATTTTTAAACTCAGTGGCTCATGCGCGATGCAAGCCAAGCTGACCAACCTCACCTTCGCATTCTTCTGCACCAGTAACTGAGAATAAAACAACACATAAAAGCAAAAGTAACGGGGTGGCAAAGGAGTTGGTTAAAGACATGATTCTGTGCGCTTAAAAGGCGCTTGTGCGCACTTTTAAGTGAACTTCAATACCCAGTACGCAACACCCACCAGCGCTGCTTCTAAATCAGGCGCTGCTCTCTTGACGTTCCAGTCAGTGCAGTGGCGCTCTGATTGGCTAATAACGCCACCCGTCATTTGACAGCATCTCTTCTCATTTGCATATGAGGACCGGCTTCCGGTAGAGTCCTTCGGAAGCATGGCTGCCATCGGGGTGCACTTTGGATACACATGTGCCTGTGTTGCCGTATTCAAGGTGAATTGTTTATGAGTATAAATCATTTTACTTTGTTTAATAAACGCAAACATGTCGGCAACAAAATAAAATATCTAATAGACCTTGTTTATGTTGCTGAGTAGTCAATGGTGTGACAGACGAACCATACCTGCTTATAATAAGTGTAAGGTAATTGTTTTCATATAGGATGGGCGAGCAGATGTTGTGGCAAATGATGCAGGGGACAGAGTCACTCCAGCTGTGGTCGCATACAGAGACACTGAACAGGTAATTTTACATGGTGGACATATTCTAGAGAATCAGACTGCAGGCAAGGATCAGTATACAGCTCTCTCATCAGGACCAAAAACAGAGAGCCTTTAACATCTATAAGATTAAGGATGAACCGTAAAATGAAAGCTTAAATTCATAACTACAAAACATATCTGTAGTCTAGTGAATAGTATGTATACTGTGTCTGTATTGCGTATATTGTACTGTCTCTGTATTGCATAGTGAGCTTAATTTTTCATAATAGCAGTGTACATGCATGCTATAGTTGCCCCATAATTTGCCTTATGGGACAAATTTATTATATAACATAATATAATAATGCTGGGGATTGGATTTAGATGGATGAGCTCATGCCTAAACCAAAACTCCTCTAAATTCTGCCAACAGACCTGTCTGACAAGTTTTTATTTATTTTATCCTACTAATATATATTAAATATTAAAGTGTTGTAAGATTCATTTTTTTGTTTAATTTAAATGCAAGAACGTCAGGGCATATGATAGTCTAATGGATTTATTTAATTTACTTATTGTTCTAGATAGTGGGAATCGCCGCTAAGCAGGGCAGAATACGAAATGCCACCAATACAGTTGTCAAAGTGAAGCAGATCCTGGGCAGATGGTAGGTTTTCATGTTGTGTCTCTTTAGACTATTCCGTAGATAAATCACTGCATATTGTGCATAATGTTATTAAGAATATTTACAGTCAAATTAGTAATAACTTAATAATAATACATTTATATAATAAATAATCATGATATAAAATTTGTTCAACTTCGATTGGTATTTGACAGCTATGATGACCCAGATGCTCAGGCACACAGAGAAGAAAGCAAATGCATTGTAAGTACATGCTGTTGTTCTTAAATACTGACACACAAAAAACACAAAAGTAACCATAAAATCTGAACCACTTGCTTTTATTAAAAGGTGTGTATTTTCATAATTTCTAGGTTGTCAACAAGAGTGACCTGCTCCGATATGAAATCGACACGGGAGAGACAACCAAGTATGTGTCGCCTGAAGATGTAGCTAAATTGATCTTCCATAAAATGAAAGGTATTGTTTGAATTTAATTTCATGTCATAGTATGTTTACCATGAACTAGTGGTGATTATGTAATGTTCCCTGCAGAGACGGCCCAGTCAGCCTTGGGTTCGGACGTGAAAGATGCTGTCATAACAGTGCCTTTTGAGTTCGGAGAGATGCAGAAGAATGCGCTCCGGTATGTGCTTGATGTGTCCGTAAAACATCGCATACTTTGAGATGAATGCAAATTAATTCAAATGATGTAACCGTTGTCTAACTCCAGAAGCTGTGTCTAAGGAGATGTTTTATGAGAATCGGTGCTGTGTTGTAGGCAAGCTGCAGAATGTGCCGGGTTCAATGTGCTGAGGCTGATCCACGAACCCTCCGCTGCGCTTCTAGCTTATGGAATCGGTCAGGACTCACCGTTGGGAAAAAGGTAAGACTTTTTTTTGCATTATCTCAGATGAATGGTTTCTTTCGGCTCAAAAGTCTCATTCCCATTTTTCTTTTGGACCACAGTCATGTGCTAGTGTACAAACTCGGAGGCACATCGCTCAGCGTCACCGTCCTGGAGGTGAACAGCGCAATGTACCGGGTCCTCGCCACACAGACGGATCACAGGACGGGGGGAGAGAGCTTCACACATGAGCTCGCACAGCACTTCGCTGCAGAGTTCAAAAAGTCAGTAGATGTCCTGTACCTCACATTTAACTTTTAAGTGTGTACGTTGACTTTGTCATTATTATGAAAGTGACACTGTGAACTCTAGGTTGTTTGCCGTTGCCAAGCATCTTCACACATTTCAGAATTTGAAGTCGTTTGTTATATAATGCAAAGCAGCTTTTTGTAGTGATGCAAAATATCTCATTTATTTATGAATATTATCTTTTCCTTTACTGAATTTTATTAATTCGGTATTAATAAAAAACGGATTTGGTGACGCACCATTCAATTATAAAGTTTAATTTAAAAAGTAGGTAAACGTTTGCTATTGATTTATACTTTATTATCAGAATAGGCATTACTATATGTAATATACGTGTGTAATACAATGATAAACTTGTGTAAATGACAGTAAGTGTGTGTGTGTGTGTGTATGTATGTGTATGTATGTATTGCTCACCAAGGCTGGATTTATTTGATAAAAAAAGTAAAAAAAAATAATATTGTGAAATATTATTACAGTTTAAAATAACTGTTCTCTATTTAAATACGTTTTAAAATGTAATTTATTCCTGTGATGGTGAAGCTAAATTTTCGGCATCATTACTCCAGTCTTCAGTGTCACATGATCCTTCAGAAATCATTCTAATATGCTGATTTGCTGCTCAAATATTTCTTATTGTTATCAATTTTTTAAAACTGTGATACATTGTTTTCAGGACTCTTTGATGAATGGAAATTTTACAGAAATTATATATATATGTGTGTGTGTATATAGATACACTACCTCTCAAAAGTTTGGGATCAGTAAGACATGTAATGTTTTTTAAAGAAGACTCTTATGCTCATCAAGGCTACATTTATTTGATCAAAAATACAGAAAAAAACTGTACTCTTGCTAAATGTTATTACAATATAAAATAATGGTTTCTATTTTAATATCCTTTCAAATATAATTTATTTCTGTGATGCCAAACTGAATTTCCATCAGCCATTACTCCAGTATAAAGTGTCACATGATCCTTCAGAAATCATTCTAATATGCTGATTTATTATTAGAATTATCAATGTTGGTAACAGTTGTGCTGCCAAATATATATATATATATTTTTTTGAACCTGTGATACTTTTTTTCAGGATTCTTTGATGAATAAAAAGAACAGCATTTATTCAAAATATAAATCTTTTCTAACAATATAAATCTTTGCTATCACTTCAATTTAACACATCCTTGCTGTCTTAATTTCTTTCAAAAAAAGAAAGAATAAAAATGTACTGACCCTAAACTTTTGAACGGTAGTGTATATTGTTAGAAATTTTTTTTTTTAAATATTTTAAATAAATGCTCTTCCTTTTAACTTTTTATTCATCAAAGAATCCTGAAAAAAGTATCACAGGTTCAAAAAAAATATTAAGCAGCACAATGGTTTCCAGCACTGATAATAAATCTGCATATTAGAATGATTTTTTTGCAACATTATAAATGTCTTTTTAGTGTCACTTCTTTCAAACAAATAATAACCAAGATTTTGTTCATACCGTCCACCCTACATGGATGACATTACTGTTTTAGTCTTATTGTGTGTTTTTCGTGTGTGTCTCCAGGACTTTTAAACAGGATGTGACTGGTAACCCCAGGGCGATGTTAAAGCTCATGAATAGTGCTGATGTGGCCAAGCACACTCTCTCCACCCTGGGCAGTGCAAACTGCTTTGTGGACTCGCTCTACGATGGCATGGATTTTGAGTGCAATGTCTCAAGGTGAGATAATGTTCAAAATGAGTATTATAACGAAAATCGTACCTGTTGCTTATCAGTATGCTATATATGCTTCTGTCCTAGAGCCCGTTTCGAGCTAATATGCTCCAGCCTCTTTAATAAGAGCATTCAGCCAATTAAAGGTCTTCTTGAGCAAGTAAACCTGTCCACCTCTGATATCAACAAGGTAAAACAACTTTTTAATACAAATGTGTGACTGTTAGAGGGAGCTGTAGATGTGCATCTCAAATTTCATGCAAAAAAATCATTTTGTGATTAGTACTGAACCTTTTAATTACATAATGCATAGTTCACTAGCTAAATAGTGGATTATTTCAGTGTTTACATCTAATCGTAGCGAGAATGGAATCCCAAAACCTTAAATAGAGATTAAAATAGGCTTTTCTTGTCTAAGGTGGTTTTATGTGGAGGATCAGCTCGTATCCCGAAGTTGCAACAGATGATCAGGGATTTGTTCCCAGACGTGGAGCTGTTGAACTCCATCCCACCGGATGAGGTGATTCCGGTCGGCGCTGCCATGCAGGCGGGCATCCTGGTCGGAAAAGACAGCCTGTCACTTGGAGAAGATTCCATCACTGTGGACTGCTGTGCCAGCGACATCACTGCTAAGGTGGGGAGCTTCAAGCAATCAATAGTGTTTAGTTTTAGCATTTTAGCACATGATTGATCAGTAGACTGTGTCTTGGCCTTTCAGGAAGTGGATGACTCCGGAGCGGAGGTTTTCACAGTTTTGTTTCCTTCTGGCACACCTCTCCCTGCCCGCCGCCAGCACACGCTGCAGGGTGCTGGCAGTCTGTCGTCAGTGAGTCTGGAGCTGTACCAGGCACAGCGACCAATCGCACAGGTTGGCACCCCTTTTAGCGGACATTTCAGTGCAAACCTATAATTAAATGAGATATTTGGCCTGTATTGGGCTTAAAAACAATTCGGCTGATTTTTTTTTACCAAAAGGTTAACTTAAAATGTGACTCTCCCTTTTTTTTTTTAGATTGTACTTAGAGACTTGGAACCTAAAGAGGAGCTGCATGACATTGTCACAGTGCTGACAATGAAGAGGTAATGAAATAAATGAACACTTTTATTCGGAATGGATGCATTAATTTGATCAAAAGTGACAGTAAAACAATTCATAATGTTACAAAAGATTCCTATTTCCAATAAATGGTGTTTTGAACTTTCTAATAATTAAATAATCCTGAAAAATATTAGGGTTTCCACAAAAATATTGATCAAAAGTTTCTTGCGCAGCATATCAGCATATTAGAATGATTTCATGTGACACTGAAGACTTGAATAATGGCTGCTGGAAATTCAGCTTTGCATCACAGGAATAAATTACATTTTAAAATATAAGAACAGAACACAATTATTTTCAATTATAAAAATGTTTCACAATATTACTGTTTTTATTGTATTTTTAATCAAATGAAATTAGTGAGCATAAGAGACTTCTTTTAAAAACTGTTATTTTGTTGCTCGTGTAATGACACAGTGCTATATACAGTAAATGCAGTAATATCACCCAGTCATACTCAACTCCGTCATAAAGCTCGTATCCTTATTTGAACAATTTCTTATGTGTTTACTTTTCAGGGACGGTTCACTGCACGTTACATGCACAGAGCAGAGCAGCGGCAGATCCGAAGCTATTACCATAGAAACGGCTGCTGCGGCATCTTAACCTTGAGTCACACTATCAGCGTAATTCCATACAGTAACCTAAACACCTGCATCTCATGCTGTTTGAGGTTTTCCAGTGCTCTAGATTCCTCTAGACCTTAGCTGAAGGAAACAAGTTAAAGTTCTTATTCAGTTTAAGGAATAGCTCAACCAGAAAAGAAAGTTATTCACTTGCCCTCATGTTGTTCCAAACCCGTTATTTTTATTTGGTGAAATTATTATTACAGCTTTTGCCATTCATGGTGACAAAAGGAACCAAGTGGTTCTTTTGTCTTGTCTGGTGCTTGGAAAAAAATGAATATGGGTTTGGAATATCATGAGGGTGAGTAAAAAATACAATTGTCCTTTTTGTGTGAAATTTTTTTTTTTTTACCAGAAGTCTTTTTCTATTTTTCAAGCCTGTGACCAGCAGGTTTACTGTAGTTGTTCTTACCATGTGCCTTCATGTACCTGCATCACATCAATGGGATTCATATATGTGACAGGCAAAATAATTGAAGGAATTAACAAAGCCTGTGGAGTTCACTGATATCATTTAAAGCATGAACAACCTTCTCAGACTGAGGAAAGACTTTCATTTGTTGTAGAGACTGAAGAGAAGCAGGTGCAGGTGCCTGAAGAGATACTAATCTGGTGCAGTCACATCGAACAGGTGCAGAATGATCACATTTTTTAAAAGCTTTGTCATCTGTAACTAGTACTCAATAAAGATCACAGAACACAATAAACCCTTTTTGAGTTTATTTTCAGTAGAGATACTTGCTACATTCACGTCAGATTTTTGCAATTACATGATTCCAAATTTTAAAATCCACTCATTTTTTTTTATATATATATATGAACATGTAGAGGTGAATATAGATTGGAAAATATTTTGCTCTTACCAACAACAAAGCTGCGAATGGATCTGTTTTGATGTTGGGTTGCCATAGTGACAAGTTTTGAGTCTGAGAATATCAACATTCGACACAATATGAATGTAGAATTGTATTAGAATTTAGTACTTTAGAATTTGTTGTGCTTTTGTCATTTATAATATTTGTTTTATATATATTTCCATTTTGGTTTTTGAACAGATTTTAAATATTGCTTTAGCCATTTAAATCAAGTGTATGTTTTTGAAGTTTAAGTTTTTCATCTAATATTTAAATTATTTTATTTCAACTTTTTCAATTAATGAAAACTATTTTACATGGTTTTAGTTAACAATAAAAACTTTTAATTTATTAATTAAAACTTTTAATTTATTAACTCTCAATATTGAGCATTTATAAAGATACAAAACTTCATGAGGTAAGCTGTCATACAACAAACCAAAAATGTATATTCAAGTGAACAAACAAGAAATCAAACAATCTGTCTTATGACGACTTCCTCCCCTGCTGCCAACTTCCTGTACAGTTCTTTCAGCTCTTCTGGTTGTGGGACTTTGGAACCTGGTGTTGGTGGAAGCTCAAAATCTGATGATACCTGTGAGTCTGATTTCGGCTCCACGGCTTCTTCCTCCTTAGGTTCGACGTTATGGCTGCTCACCACCTCACCATTGGTCCCTCGGTTACACTGCTCACTAGTAATGGCCTTACTTTCATCCACTTGGACGAGAACAGTGTCTATTTGACTGAGGCTCTCTGTCCCTGCATCCGATATATGAGTGGACTGCGAGGAAGTCAAGTGAACGGAGCTGCTGTCATCCTCAACTTCATCCTGAAACAGCTCGGGTGACTGGGACGCGGTGTTTTCGGTGGAGAGCGTTTGAGTGTTGTGGCTGTTCTGACTGTTATCCAGTTCGCTCTCATCGGTCAACACTGGTTCCACCTTGAAGAACCTGTCCCAACAAGGCAGAGCTGTTTTGGATTGGGACGAGTCCGACTGAGCCGGTTTTGAGCATGGCATTTCTGTGCAAGGTGGTGCGACACCGAATGGTTGAGGTACAGGAGGTTGCTCGGCATCATCATCATCATCATCGTCATCATTTGACTCTGTGCAGTCCATGTAATTGGATGAGTGTGTGGGGGGACAGGGCTCTATAAGGGAAAATGTTTGGTCCGTATCATGGGAATCTTTTTTAGGGCTATGAGGCTGTTCACTAATGGCAACCTTGGTCAGATCAGTCACTGTCATTTTACGCCGCCTTGAAGCCATGGAAACCTCTTCAAACAGGTCATTATCACTGTCTGAGCCTTAGTAGAAAAGTATTTACGTTTATAAACGATAATAACAATTTAATAAATAGTTTTAATAATGAAAACTACTCATACCTTCCGATGTGCACCTCTTTCTGGTTCTCTTGAGAGCCCCAAGCGGTTTGTAGACAATCTCCTCCCTTCCAGACTGTTTTCTACACAAGGGCTTTAACCTGAATTTGAAAAGATCATTTTATAGTAAGCAACTAAAGTCTTATGACAACATGGTACAAAAAAAAAGGTTTGTCCTTACAGCTCTGCGACGTCCTCCAGTGTCTTGCCCAACGGAATGACATTAGGATAGATGTTAACAGGACAGATGTAGGAGAGAAAGTCCTTAACCTAGTCACAGGAAATAGACACAGTCTTATGATAGGCTAACATTGTGTATGGTGTGTCATATGAAGAATATCCTTCTTGGTGGGATTTCTCTCACCTCCAAATAAGAGGAATGAAAAGAAAAGCATGCTCTGTAGGAACTACTTCCCATCCTAAAAAAAAAAGACGTGATGAATAATTTATTATTAATAATATATATATGTAAAAATAGGTAATTGCATGCAAATTTATTCTATTTTTAACATTTAGATTTCCTGTGCTGTCATCTAACTTTTAAAGTTGATCTTTTAAAAACACTAATAGTTGGGATACTGTTAAATATAATCTTTAAAAGTTTGAAAATGAGTTTCCGTTTTTAATACTTATTAAAATGAGTGATTTTTTTGTCTCATTTCAATAAATAGGTACATAAATATTGATAGAATTTTAATATTGACCATAACATTTTAATATTGATGCCTCGTGACTCACTTGACAATGACAGAGGTCTTTCTGAGATCTGTTAAAACACGTTCTTAATTTTAAGTTTAAACTATAACAGCAAAATAAATCTAAATGCAAAACAGAAAAGAAAATACTGTACTGTATAATCAAATAGTACGCATTTATAAGTTCGTTTATAAAAAATAATAGTATATGAACATAATATATTTAATTCTGAGACAAGTAATATTTAAAAAATAAAGCAGTTCATAAATAATACATGAAACTGGAAACAAAGTATGGTTTACATAAACTTTTACAGCTAAACGTTTATAAACAAATTATAAATGTTTAATAAGAAAGGGGTGTTTAATTTGTCACATGGGTTGGAATATGTACAAATATCACTCACCTGAACTTCAGTTTTCTCTTCAGTAAAGGTCCTTTCAACCCTTTCATATGATCTATTGAACATAAACACAATAGATATATCTAACAATACAGAAAGTTCCTAAGCGGCATTCGATCCACTGTGCATTATATATATATATATATATATATATATATATATATATATATATATATATAAAAGATATATATATATATACA